TGCTCGAAATGTATCTGAAGCCACTGTTCGATACATATGGCTATAGGTATCTGAACTAAGTTCAGGACTCGTTGCAGACGTGCTCATGCCTAACACATTCAACATGTGCAGACATCCCCCAATGACAACAGCGGTGCTAGATTCCTCTGGGCCCATGAGAGCCATTATTGATTTTCTTCCTTTTTTACTCTGCGTTATGTTCATGAAGCATTTGTCTTTGACAAATTCGCAAGTTATTCGGGTAGCTTTTGGGATAGTTTTCACAATAATCTCGTATATCGTAGCCGAGAGTTACGTTTGAAAGAAGTTTGGAGTCATTGTTTATCGTTTCTATGGCAAAGATCATTGCCAGTGCGCGAGCCAAGCCCAACGTGTCAAGTTCACCGCATTGGTCCTCAGAAGTTCCTTGCAAATGAACAGAAAAAAGGCCGCCCAACATGACATCTCCTTCCCTATATGATGCTTGTACAGCAGCGTAGAACAAAAGCCAGAAAATAACGAGGTAGAATTGCGATGAATGTTTGTTTCGACTCATCTTTTATAAAACTAGACCTCTTTGTTTAGTTGTAGTTATTGACGGCTTTAACTATGTACTTGATAAGCCAGAAAATAACGAGGATGAATTCAGACGAATGTTTGTGTCGACTCATTTCAAATATAAAACTAGACTTCCTTGTGTAGATGTAGATGTTGGCGGCTTTAAGGCTAATGGTGGTTTACGTATACGTTATACTTTGCACTAACAGGTGGCGGTATTATGCATTTTTCTAATAATAGGGGCTCTTAGCGCCAGTGTGTATCTACACTAATTAAACGTGTTGAAACAAAGCCGATAAACAAGAGGGTAATTTCTGCGATAGACACACTTCTCCAAAGTTGGAGTTCTAGCGCAATAATTCGAAGAAGGAGGAAGTTATTGAGCAAATCATGTAGTTCTCTTTGTTTAAGTGGCTGTGTAAATCGAAAGGGAATGCAAATAGTACTAACCCGCCCGAAATGACTTAACTTGATTGAACGAAAACCCGTGAAATCTCCCCTTGGTATGGTCGTATGGTTGTAGTCACACGGACGTAACTTAATGAAATAATTAATATTCAGATGTTTGTCTGTCTTTCAAGTTTCTTTCATTTGTCCACCTTCAAACATGAATTTTAATTAGGTTTTCAAAGTGAAATATATCAAAGGCTCTTTTGAGCCAATGCTTTTATTTTTCACGGAAATATATGCTTTAATTAATTAATGTTAATTGAGCAAACAAGAACATGCAACATACATTATGCGCCAATCAATCTTATCCATCTAAGGTGTTTGTTATTGTTCTCTGATATTTACGGAAGGAAGGCTTAAGTAGCATTCCTTCCGTTTTCGACGGTCGGAAAAAAAAAATTGTATATGACGGCTTTCAACCACAATGTATTGATAACTGATAGAATAAAGTACAATGTGTTGGTAATGCCTTAACACTGTCAGCAGTGCTGTTTTTTGTGTTTCATTTTTTTTTTGAAAACCCATAGGAGTCATTAGCCAAAATGCAAATAGTTGTTTGCATTAATTGAAGGACGAAAAGCTTCCGCCTTATTTGAGCTCGTTTTAAGAGATCTTTAAGTTAATTTAGTGTCATTTTAAATGCTGCATTGATCTGATACCGTACGATACCGTACTTTTGGAATCGCTTGTGATTGTTTGAAAAGTTATTCGAAAAGCTAGTCATCTTGTGCTTGAAGAGAAAATTTCAACGAATGAAATGCCATAAACCGAAATATAAGCCCACGAACATTTCTTTCCCGGTAATTAACATAATCAGCTTACCGTAAGTAGCACCTGTTACTAATGCTTTTCCCAAAACGGCTGTTCTTAGTTTTTACAGAGATTTAAACTGCCAAATATTCGCGGCATAACCTTTAAAACACCAGTGTATTAACAGTTTCTGCTGCTGTTATACTGTAATGAAATCGGCTTAAATAAGCTGAGCGATAGCTGTATCGCATCCGTCGCCTGTATATAATGAATTATTAACCGGGCGTGGCCTAGGGCCCCGCCCGGTTATTAAAATAGCTTCTGTTTTTTTTTTGTCGTGATTCACCTTATACCTCTACTCCGCCAAAGTGCTAGGAGGAGAGCTAGGAGAGAGTATGAATATATATTCGCTTTGTGAAAGTTTTTCTCGGGGAGGATCGAAGACCGGACTCGAGAGGGCGGCGGAAATCGAGTCTATGTGAAAGTTGGACTGATCCAAATAAATAATAATTTAGGACCGCGTAAACACGTAAACACGTAAACGCGTAAACACGGAGCGGCGTACAGATTTCGCAACGTCGGTGAGTTTGACTCTTCAAAATATTACATCATTGTACTCACTATGTGGATTTTACTCACTCTGAGCGCCATTAGATAAAATTTTATATCAAGCTACGTTACATTTCGCAATGGTCATCGTTTGCCTAAATGACATTTTATGAATATTCTGCTGTTTGTTTTGTGTGAAATACATTTCTTTTCCGTAAAGGAAAACAGAAACTTGCTGAGATGAGCATATTTAAAAACAGAAACTTGCTGAGACAAGCAGATTTATAATTGGACCATTACGTCATAGAGTCACGTCGAATCGTGACTTGAAGAGATCATCTGTGGGTTGCGTACTACATCTCATACACTAGGAGCGCCATTAGATCACATTTTTATCAACCTATCAACCTACGTTAAATTTCGCCAGGGTCATCGTTTGCGTAAATTACATTTTATGAATATTGTCTTGTTTGTTTTGTGTGAGATACATTTCTTTTCCATAAAGGAAAACAGAAACTTGCTGAGACTGGCAGATTTATAAAAACAGAAACTTGCCGAGACGCGCAGATTTATATTCGGATGATTACGTCCATAGGTCACGTCTAACCGTGACTTGAAGATATTTCGCAGCGACTGTGATAAACCAGGAGCCGCCATTAGATCAAATTTCATATCAAGCCATTACTTTATTTGACCCTATTTGAAATATGACGAATACTGTGCTCTATATTAAGTGTGAAATCCATTTATTTATCGTATCGTTTCAGCTTTTTCATTTCGTTGCACAGGGAAGATTTATAAATAGCCATTACGTCATTGATGGTGCAACGATTGGTTGCGAAATGTCTACAAGGGATGGTGCAACAATGTGTAAAAGTTGGACTGGTCCAAATAAATAATAATTTAGTAATTAAGCAGAGCGTTCGTAAATCAAATATCGTATAAATGGTATTAAGCTACTTTTGGCGTTACATTTCGAGTAAAAAGTGAAAGGTGGACTGGTCCAAAGAAATAATAATTTATGACTGCGTAAACACATCGGAGCGGCAGGTAAATCCAAATATCGTATTAAGCCTCTTTTGGTGTTACATTTCGCCAGGACCGTACAGATTTCTCAACGTCGGTGAGTTTGACTCGTCAAATTAACTACTGGGTGGGACACAGTAGGAGCGCCGTTAGATCACATTTTTATATATCAAGCTACGTTACATTCGCAATGATTATCGTTTGCCTATGAAATGCCATTTTATGAATATTCTGCTGTTTGTTTTGTGTGAAATACATTTCTTTTCCGTAAAGGAAAACAGAAAACTTGCTGAGACGTGCAGATTTATATCTGGACTATTACGTCATTAAGGTCACGTCGAATCTTAACTTGAAGTGATTGTCTGTGAGTTGCGTATGTACATCTCATACTCTAGGAGCGCCATTTAGATTAGATCAATTTTTTTATCAAGCGACGTTACATTTCGCCAAGGTCACGAATATTGTCATGTTTGTTTTGTGTGAAATACATTTCTGTTCCGTAAAGGAAAACAGAAATCTGCTGAGACTCGCAGATTTATAAAAACAGAAACTTGCTGAGACGTGCAGATTTATATTTGGACGATTATGTCATAGGGCACGTCGAATCGTGACTGATAGAAATCGTCCGTACATCTCATACACTAGGAGCGCCATTAGATCAAATTTTTTAACAAGCTATGTTACGTTTTTATCGAGCTACGTTACATACGTTACATTTATTTTTTCCTCTTGTTCAACTCTGGCTTTATATTGAGGAATGATCTTCAAAGTCTGCTCAGAGGCAAGAAAATTGACAGTAGGCACTATACGCCAAACATCAGACTTCAGCGTGACTGGCGTGACTAATCTGATAGATTTCAAGCAAGAAAGCAGGTAAAACTGCTTTCTTGCTTAAACAAAAATGCCCGGTTATATTTTCTTCGAAAATTCTTGTTTCAGACTAAAACGCCGTATACAGTGGATGTAAAGTTGCATGGAAATCGAAAGTTAATTACTTATCTTCCTCGCCTCCAGGCGCAACAGTGCATCAAGTTAAAGGAGCTATGTCAATATATTTTAAGTCATTTTTTAAAGTCATTTTAATTGCAGACTCACCTTCAAACTGAAGAAAGCCTCAAAGTAATAGTTTGCTAAGGTAGAAAAAACACCAAATAGGTGAAAATAAACCAAACAGGAAAAAGGATGGTTAAGGATGGAGAATATTAAGACGGATTATGAACGCGGCGAGTTAAATTACAACTTGAAAATGAATATAAATTAATGAAAATAATTGACATTTTGTATGTAAATCACTTCATAAAAGCCTCAAAAAAGTCAAATGATCGCACTGACCATTCATAAATTAATTCGTATCTTAAAATATTACAAAATATATATAAGCACCTGATTAAACTTTCGTGGTCTGTATAACTGAGTACACAAGACGACAAGTAAATGTTCATTTACCTTTCACTATGAGTTATTGTATACAATTGTACTGGCTAAAACTGTAACTAAAGAGAGAGGTAAAGCCGCACTCGGGCCAAACTGGCCAACACTGCCGGAGCTCATTTCCCCCTGGATGGGATGCTAGTCCATGGCAGGTTACTCCCCCAGCATTTTGTTTCCGGTACATATTTATATTCATGGGCTGGGAGAAGTACTCACGTCTGTGAGAGTAAAGTGTCTTACCCAAGAACACAACGCAGTGACCCAGCCAGGGCTCGAACCTTGACTGCTCGATACGGAGTCCAACGCGCTAACCTGATTAGGCTACTCAGCGTCTCCCAAAATTGTAACTAACGAGACCAAAAATGCTGATATCATTCTAGTCTTGAAGTGTTCGCCTAGGTAAAATTAACTTTGTTTAGGTTTCGCCATGCTGGATATTACTGCCAAATACTGGATTCACACGCACACAACTTGTTTCAAACGAAAATTGAGTTACTTCACGACGGATGTTGCTTAAATTGTTCAGCTCTGGCCTAAAGAAAACGATATATATTTTGGGAAGAATATGCAACAGAGGAAGCCATAAGCAGTCAACAGTGTTGAAACACAGTCTACAACAGTCACATACCAACCGTCCATTGAAAACTCTACCGGATGATAAGCTAGCACTGAAACAAAAAATATGTACATCGAAAATGCTATTCGTTTGGCCTCACTAAAGTTTTCTGGGATTTTCCTAATCTTAAAAGAACAAAATGCGCAAAAACATGTTTGAAGGAGAATGTAAGAGCACGTTGCCAGGAACAAGTATTTTCCAATTACCGTGCTGTACGCATGGCACTCAATAAATATATAATTATCAGTTAGGAAGTGTTCCTTATTGATAGGTGGATCCAGAATTAGCCACGGCAGCAAGACGAGTAGCAGCAGAATGTGCATAGTTATTACGATCACTACCTGCATTCTGTTGGTAACTGAACTTATCGTGTAACAGTGCGCTATTGGAACTTGGAAAACACTTGAAATGCGCAATATTTTCACCAACAGACATGACAGGCACAAACTGTAGGTTATGTAACGCCATGGGTAAATGATCTTGCAAATTATATCTGTAGGTTCAAAGAGACTGATAACCACCAGAGTTAAGAGCAAGAGAATGCTTACCAGAAGGACGAGGCTAAATTCCCTGCTGGATGCCTTGACAATGGGAGTGTTCCAGAATCGACAGATAACAGCGAATGTAAAAAAAGTAGCAATGATTGCAAAAGCACAAAATACAAGGATAACTATTCCTCCTGCTGTGGAATAATTCAAATTTGCCAAAGGTAAATCCACGCAGTATGTTCTAGCCTCGTTCGATTGTTTCCTTCTGGGGCATTCAATGCAGCTTGCCGAACCTGGAATCGGATTGATTGTACCACGAGGACACGAGACACACTGCCAACAACAAGGCGAAGTAATTGTTTTTCTTGTTCCGGGAGAGCATCGTTCCAAACATTCAGATTTCGGAATCCTGCCTGCTGGAGAGGTCCAGCGAATTTTTCAAATAACTGTAACCGTTTGTTGCGTTGCTCATTCTCTTCCCATTTTCCTACTAGAACGTGTTTGATTAATTGCTTCGCATTGGGGGCTTCTTGCACTTGTAAATTGACAATATCATAGAAGGCCGATACCCTGTCGCCAAGTTCGTTAAAACTTATGTTTCCCGTTAGTCCAACAAAATTAACTTTGGAAAGGAGCCTTTTCATGAGATTAATATCCATATTAGGTTTTCGATGGTGATCGTTATCTGTCATGCTGAAGCGGGATTCTTGAACTAAGATATCCAAAGCATGTGCCACCGAATATACAGCGTCAATCACATACGAAGCGTAAGAATTTTGCACGCGATTAATGAAATTCTGGAAACAGACTCCTTTGTTAATTGTATCCTTCATACTTGCTGAGCAGTTACTTATCAGCGTTGTGATCTCGCTCCACCATTCCGGAAAGTTCTCTTGAATTGACTTGATAGTTAAAGACTTTTGAAATCTGACGTCGGCGAAACTACGAGGCTGGACTATAATGGATCCATCAAGGGCAGAATAACCTGAATCTGAATATGACGTGAATTCCTCGCTTAGGATCCAGACTCTCTCAGTGAGGTTTTGTCTGTTGACTTCGTTGAAAAAGTTCCTCGCATTGCTTCCAAATAACCACAAGATGACAACTCTGATATTTGTGAGTCGATGTAGCGTTGTAACAATATTTCTAATGCTCGTAAACTGACTTTCATGGGGTATAAAATTCTGTCATTGCAACACAGAAGGAGTGGTTTCTAGTTGCAGCTTCTTTAACTAGTGACCACAGTCCATTCCTTCCATACGAATCATCTTGTCCCACGGCGGCAATATAGCTCCACTTGAAGTGCTCTACGATGTCAGCGACGGCTTTTGCTCGAAATGTATCTGAAGGCACTGTTCTATACATATGACTATACGTATCTGAACTAAGTTCAGGACTCGTTGCAGACGTGCTCATGCCTAAGACATTCAACATGTGCAGACATCCCCAATAACAACAGCGGTGCTAGATTCCTCTGGGCCTATGAGAGCCATTATTGATTTTCTTCCTTTTTTAATCTGAGTTATGTTCATGAAGCATTTGTCTTTGAAAAGGTCGCAAGTTATTCGGGTAGCTTTTGGGATAGTTCACAATAATCTCGTATATCGTAGCCGATAGTTACGTTTGAAAGAAGTTTGGAGTCATTGTTTATATTTTCTATGGCAAAGATCATTGCCAATACGCGAGCCAAGCCCAACGTGTCAAGTTCACCGCATTGTCCTCAGAAGTTCCTTGCAAATGAACAGAAAAAAGGCCGCCCAACATGACATCTCCTTCCCTATATGATGCTTGAACAGCAGCGTAGAACAAAAGCCAGAAAATAACGAGGCAGAATTGCGATGCATGTTTGTTTCGACTCATCTTTTATAAAACTAGACCTCTTTGTTTAGTTGTAGTTATTGACAGCTTTGAACTATGTACTTGATAAGCCAGAAAATAACGAGGATGAATTGAGGACGAATGTTTATGTCGACTCATTTCAAATATAAAACTAGACTTCCTTGTTTAGATGTAGATGTTGGCGGCTTTAAGGCTAATGGTGGTTTACTTATACGTTATACTTTGCACTAACAGGTGGCCGGTATTATGCATTCTTCTAATAATAGGGGCTCTTAGCGCCAGTGTGTATCTACACTAATTACACGTGTTGAAACAAAGCTGATAAACAAGAGGGTAATTTCTGCGATAGACACACTTCTCCAAAGTTGGAGTTCTAGCGCAATAATTCGAAGAAGGAGGAAGTTGTTGAGCAAATCATGTAGTTCTCTTTGTTTAAGTGGCTGTGTAAATCGAAAGGGAATGCAAATAGTACTAACCCGCCCGAAATGACTTAACTTAATTGAACGAAAACCCGTGAAATCTCCCCTTGGTATGGTCGTATTTTTGTAGTCACACGGACGTAACTTAATGAAATAATTAATATTCAGATTTTTGTCTGTCTTTCAAGTTTCTTTCATTTTGTCCACCTTCAAACTGGAATTTTAATTAGGTTTTCAAAGTGAAATATATCAAAGGCTCTTTTGAGCCAATGCTTTATTTTTCACGGAAATATATGCTTTAATTAATTAATGTTAATTGAGCAAACAAGAACATGCAACATACATTATGCGCCAATCAATCTTATCCATCTAAGGTGTTGTTATTGTTCTCTGATATTTACGGAAGGAAGGCTTAAGTAGCATTCCTTCCGTTTTCGACGGTCGGAAAAAAATTGTATATGACGGCTTTCAACCACAATGTATTGATAACTGATAGAATAAACTACAATGTGTTGGTAATGCCTTAACACTGTCAGCAGTGCTGTTTTTTGTGTTTCATTTTTTTTTTTGAAAACCCATAGGAGTTATTAGCCAAAATGCAAACACACTAAATTATCTATGTACGCGTTATCTTTTACAATATATTTGAATCTTTCTTATAACGTAATTGTAATCTATATACATGTATGTTTTAAGCAAGCTTGTTTCACTTCTCTGATCTAATAACTAATGTCACACCGTAAAATGGTTTCTCTATATGGAGCCACAACGGTAGACTGTGATACCTTTTTCTGTATCGTGCTGTACTCAGTCTCAACCCTATGAATTGGAGAAAAGACGAATGTCACGCATTATGAAGGTTTATTATATGAACCCTGCTCAGCAGGCTACACTGTACAGTTACACCGTTCTCCTTTATTGTGTCAGCCCTGGGACGCTGTTTGTACTCGTCGCTGTTGTTAACAAGGGCTTTTCACCGAATCCGCTCTACTTCCCAATCTAGGCTGATGTACAGCAGATTAATGAGTTGATCGTGTCCTTTACAGCTTGTCTCACTGACCGGATCTTCCAGCAGTAAAGAATCGGGTTTAACGACGAGTTTAGGTAGGTAAGGGTTGATGTAAAGGTAAAAGCAAATTCAAACGTATTTACAATCATTTGAATTCGGCCATATGTCATTAACATAACCATAATAACAAATGGAACGTAGCAAGCAACGAATGCCAACTGCACCCATAATACGCTGGAAACCGACTTCTTGTATCGTGCAATATTCAGTAGAATTCCTCCTCCGTTGGGCTGTCCTTGGTAAACACGGTCTTGTAGTTGAGCGTGGTGCTGTCGAAGTTTTAGATAGATCTTCGCGTAACAGAAGATTGATATTACCAACGAGAGTACTGCAAATGCAACAAAGATAGTAAAGGCGATACCACTGTTCCAAAGGTACATGGATCCTAAGGAAACGCCAATTAACCAAAAACAAATTATAACAGCACGAACGTTCCTTAATGTTACAACGAGTCTGTACCTCAGCCCCAACAGCAGGGCGAGAAGTCTGTCCACGCTTATTGCGGTGGATGTGAGGACCGAAACTCCACACAAAATAAAGCTTGATGTACGCTTTATGTGCCCAATGTAGATTAGAATATTTGCGTTCATCCCAGTTGTTATGTCCGACATAAGCGAGGTAACAAGGAGTGGATGGGAAATAAGGCCAACGCAAATATCAGTGACTGCCAGGCATCGAAACAACAGTTTTGTTGGAGGATGAAGAGAAGACTCCTTACGAAGAGCAACAAGGATCAAAGCATTGCCCAGAGTTGCAGTGATAGATAGAAACATGTTCAAGGACACCATAAAGGCGGCTATGCCTGTTGGATTTTGGTAGTCTTCACCTCCAAAAGAGAACGTCATTTATTTGGTAGTTCTGGCACGAAAAACGTATTGTAATCACATATTAAATGAGAAGTT